GGGTCCTGTCTAGCAGATGGCACATCGGGCTAAGAACCTTGGCATAATTTATGGCTTATAAGGGTTATTCTTACAAAGTGGGCAGCTATAAGTCAAATAAACAAACTGAAACACAAGTTCAGAGAACAGACCAAAAGCACCATGGTACAAGATGTACTTTGGGCACAGAACATATTGGCTTCTCAAGGGATATCGTTCTCATTGAATTTTTTTTGTTCTTGTCAGGAAACAAAAGATCTGGCAAAATCAGTATCCCTATTTGAAGAGTGAGGATCAGACTTGATTCTGACCTGATGCCCCAAAATAGGGCTTAGTGATTTTCCCCACTGTTGAGTTTAAATGATAATCACCTGTTCTTGAGTTGTCAGAAAGCAGCAATGTCTCAACATTTGCTCCTCCTGGTGCCTTATTCTCCATCTTTTGTCTCTGGTTAGGTCTTTGGAATGAACGGTGATAATCTGACTTTATGCAAAGGATGTTAAGCAAGCAAATTTTTTAAGCCCTGTGATTTTGTTGTCCTTTGCCTTTTAGAATGTCACCAGCTGGAGAGAAATCATTTGCCATGTGAGGATGAGGTGGAGATTATTTTTGCAAGACTTTCCTTTCTTGCTTTGCTGAGCAGAGCAAATTAGGAGATGGCGGGTCGAGTCATCGACTCCGCAAGCCTTCTATGGCTTCAGCAAGTGTGGGAAACTGGTGACTTTTGACAGGTGGCTTGTCCCATTTTCCACTTTTTCATGCCAGAGATTCCTGGCTTACTGTCCTTTCAAAATTCTGCACCTTGGATGTTCTCAGGAGGGCATGGTGCTTTCAAAACCTAGCGTCACTTGCTGTTTGGTGGGCTTTTAGAAGTTTGTGTTTTAAATAAGCCCTGTTCTTCTTCTTTCAAGAAGGGATGGTTCTTTTAAACCCTGGTACCCCCACAGTGTATCTCTCTTTCTCTCTCTGTGTGTGTGTATGTGTGTGTGGTGCGTGAAAAAAAATAATGATGGTAGAAGAAATTACCTGGAGCCTAGAAATTATATAGAGAGGTCTGTATCTGAAATGCTGAATAGACACCAACCTGGTCCTGCTTTTATTATCACTTGATACACCTTGAGAGCATAGGCAGTGAGGATTATTAGAGTTAACACACTCTGAATTTTCCATTGGTTACCACTGACTTAAGGGGGAATTATTCGACACCATTGTAACTGAGGATGACTCTATGCTAACTCAATAAATCTGCTAGCAGAATTAGCCTACGGTGGCAGATTCTCAGTCTGTTATGCCCCAGCTCCGGATTCCCAAGGATTGTGACACACACCAACGGTCCTTATCAAAGTTATAACGTACCAAGAATAAACAAAGTCCGGCAAAGGTTGGCAACCAGCCCAGAAAAGAAGATACGATAAGACACTCACTCTTCAAAAATGCTCTGTAATAATTACACGTTGTTTCCAGTAAGAAGTACTTACTTCCAGTCACAAGTACTTGTGACTTAAATAGGCTAAGGGAGTGGCCAATTATCCTCAAACCTTATTCTTGAGGAGACCTCCTTCTTCTGAGTAGCCACTCTTGCCTTTTGGCACCCCTGCATGCTCGAGCATTGAGGAGAGGCTCCTCCACTTCGCTCTCTCCACTTGAAGGAGCCTCTGGAGGTTCTGAAGGCCCTGGCTGAGTCTCTGCCTCTGGCACCACATCCTCTTCAGCCTTCTCACTGTCCGACACGAGCACCAGCTGCGCAGGCTGCTGGTGCGACCCACCAGCCTCCTCTTCATTGGGATCAGCAACGATCCATGCAGGCTGCTGGCAGGCCACAACACAGTCCAAGCTGATCACTAAGTGCCAGAAGGATCTAGTTATATCTCCCAAACTCCATCATGTGTGGGAAGTGGATCGTATTTTGCTTCCCATTTCTCTTTACATGGTTGTGAGAACCCAACACTCCTTTTCCCTGACTCCCAATTAGGCAAAACCAGTATTTTTAGCTTAGTTGTTTTAGTGGACTACAGAGATTTAAGGAGTGAAATGCCTACCTTATTCTGGGAGCAAATGCTAAGCAAAATCTATAGCCTGGTAAATTCAGCAAAGCAAAACTGTCTTGCCAATGGGAATAATTCTTAATCCTTAAATTCTTTAGGTTTTAGGCAAAATAAACTTTTTTTAAAAAAGGAGAGTGATTTTTTTTCTCTTCTACTTTCCCAATTTTTTAAATGAAGTACTAATTCAAATTTGATTTGATTGCTCACTTTTAACCTACAGAAGATGTAAAACTTATACGATGATATTTAATTTGGAAAAATAAAGATTTTTTAAATATCCAAATTATCTGTGCATTTAATATTGTGCCCTTGTCCAAGGTATTAGGTCACCAATATCTTAGATTACTTTTGAATAAATGAACAATTTTGCTTTTACAATAAGAAACAAGATGGCATTTTAAAAGTGTGAATGACAACTGGTGCGACAGAAAATATTTATTCCCAATAAACGTTTTAAGATTACAAATTATAATGGCTGTGAGCACTATTTCTGAAAAAATAATTATATAGTAACAGCTTAATTGCTGTATAATTGGAACAGCAATGGTTCAAAGGCAACAACATATTCATTATATATTTCATAATTCCCTATTTTCTGACATGACCCAGAACTATTCTGATTTTCTGAAGCATTAGCCAAATACATCCCTGCCTCAGAAATGGGCTAGAAAGCTTGATGGGTTCATCTGAAAACCTCCATGAGCAGAGAAAACTATAGATAACAGGTTCATTAATTCCTGATGTAAAACTTTATGGACAGGTACAGTGTACTAAGAATTCTTTTCCTTATCTAAATGAACAATTTCCAACCCTATTGAAATTAATATTCCTAATTGATATTCCTAATCCTTTACCTGTACCCCTAAATTTGGGGTACAGGTAAAGAAAACAATATGTCCCAGATATTTTTCACCAATATTGTCAGGAGTAAAATTATCAAAACAGAGACCAGTATTAATGAAGTTCGGTATTTTTTAATTTATTATTTAACATTTTTTAAAATGGAAAAGGATTTTATGAGCGGCAAGAGAAAAGCGAAAGGAGGATAATCTATTGGTATTGTTCTACTAATAAAAGTTAGTCTAAATCAAGAAAGTTTCATGAAAGTTATGTATCTTGAGGGATGTATTGTGATTAGTTCTTGTCCAACTTATCTTGATTGAAATCATTAGATTTCTGACAGGGTTGCACAAATTCATGTATCACTCGTGGTGCTATAGTATCACAAAACCTGAGAACTTGCTGCGCTGATATCTGTTTCAAAGATAATCCATCATTCCACTCATCATAGGCCAGGTTGTAGCTGTTTGATTAACACAAAGCTTGGTATTTCTCAAAGAAACTGGAGTTTTGTGATCGATGCAGAACATCTTATACAGTATTTCTCAACCTTGGAAGCTTGAAGATGGGTGGACTTCAACTCCCAGAATCCCCCAGCCAGCGCTGCTGGCTGGGGGATTCTGAGAGTTGAAGTCCACCCATCTTCAAGCTACCAAGGTTGAGAAACATTGTCTTAGTAGATGGTAAGAAAGAGTGCAGAGTCTATTCCTCCCCATTTTATAGATTACTTAGGATTCCCACAGCACCCTTGCCACCTTTACCACAAGTTTGTGGGTAGAGTGAGCATACAGCTGGCAATTCTTGAAAACAATGTGAATTATTCTGATTTATCATTTACATCAACAATTTAAAATATGTAAAGTACTGACAGGAACTGGAGATGAAACACGAACTGGTAGTATATTTCATATCATTTGTTTCAAACTTAAAAAAAAAAACAACTTGAGCCCATTTTAATTGTCAACATACTTGAATGTAGTGCAAACAGAATTGAACCTTTCCCTGGGCTCATAAAAACAACTGGGATGGGAGAGGTCAGGACAAGGGTTCTTCCTTGCCTTCAATCTTCTGATTTTCCTAAACATTCTTTAGCAACTACGTAAGACTAGACCCGGATTTTATTTACTTTTAGCCAGCAGATTCAGCATTTATATTTCTGATTCTGCTGGCCAGTATGTCTAAATCAACACCTGGGAAATGTCACAACAAATGAAACAATATTATACAAACCAAATGTTATTGTGTAAAGGATATGTTGTTTCTAAGACACAACCGTGGTACATGGTTATTATCGGCAATTCAATTTGGGTTGTATCCTTAATTAGGATAGTCTTCACCTTGGATCTTTTTATTTTTGTGCAACAGTGGCTTCTGACTCCATTGGTTTACTTTCTGTATTGTTCAGACTCTAATGCTTGACTACTGGCTGTTTCTTCTGATCTTATTTAGAGTTGAATTGTGATTGTTCTGCTTTGTTGCCTTACCATTCCTGCAACACTTAGCATACAGATATTAAAAATGAATGACAAACACATGGAATCTTTCAGAACTCTACAAGTTACCAGCCATAGAACAAAACAAAAAAATTCTTAGTGCAACTTTGGGTCAAAAGTAGAATTTGTAGAACATGACCAGATTTTAAGACTAGTGTGTGCTTGTTGTAGCCACTAAGAAATCCTAATGGTAGCTCCTAGTGTGATTCCAACTGGGATACTGAAATCCCACAAGACACATATCCTATGATTCTGCAATGTAATACCAGAAACCATTTTTTCCCCTTTAAACAGGACGGGTGTATATCAGCAGAATCCATCAGAAATTCTTTTATCCAACATCAACATTCAAGTGAACTGGTCTTCTAATGTGAAAATGACCCAGCATATAAGGAAGCCATTACTTCCAAATATGAGCATTTTAGTTTTTCCCTAAAAAAAGATTTACAAATAATGGATAAAAAGAGAGATTGCAAAAATCATAAATGCTTATCTTGTTAAAGATTATAAAAAGACAAGATACGAGGTGGATTAGAGGAATAATAACAACCTTGGAAAGCTCTACAAAGCCAGAACACAGTGTTCACAGCTTAAAAAACAGCTTGTGTTCTTCCTTGGGAAGAAAGAGGAAAATAACATAATGGAGCCTTCTCATTTTTATTATCCTTACAAACAAGTACTACTAGTAAAGCATGTGGAGCATTTGTAACAAAACATTATTGTGACTATTGGCCCACTGTTTCTTCATTTAGCACCGCATGTTGTTCAGAACAGCTACCTGTTGAAGAACATTTCTGATAAAAGATCAATCTTACTGACAGACTGAGAAGGTATGTCTTGTACACCTTTTCTCAGTTGCACATAGATTTGTGCAATCCAGAAAAAAAAAGCAAATGTATAGATTTTGCACATATATATAAAAAAAGGGGAGGCAAAAAGAGGGAGAAAGAGAAATGAACTGGTTGAGTGCCTTGCTTGCAAATCTAATATGAAGTAGATTGGCTGGTTTGTAAGAAAGCTTGTTTGTCTCCATGAATGGTCCACTTGTGTATCTGTAAATATAACAAATTCTCCATTCAGTTTATGAAACCAACCATCAAAAAAACATGCTTTCTGAAAGTAATGGTTAAGTGAATGAAAACATTCAAGTCATTATTTACTTTCACAAGGTAACTTCTTCTCAGCTTATTATTTTACAAGTAGAAAATATACAACTACAAATACTTTTGGCAATGCCTGATTAAAAGAACAACTTCAGCAAAACTCCCAATCTGCTGTTGTGTATCATATTGGATATTTTGTAGATATATTTGTAGATATTTGGAAACTTCTTCACAGAATACAGGGTTCCCCCCCCAAAAAAATAGGTGATAGTTATCAACACAGAAATGAAACTGAATGTGCGTCACCATGAATATATAACTAAACATTTCCTTTGTCAATAAAACTCTGGGTTAGTTGCTGTCTTTCAATCTTGTTTCTTCATCAGTTTGTTTATAACATAGGAACCCTGGTTAATATATATATCTTGCCCAGTGGTGAAATCTGAACCGGTTTACTACTGGTTCGCTGCTGCGCATGTGCAGTGCGCACCACGCACCAAATGCGAGGTGCGCGCATGCTTGCGGGCAGTATATGCCAAAAGGAGGCATGGGGTAAGTAGAACAATGTGGGGTGATCAGCTGTGGTGCACAATCTTTTTTTACTTTTAAAAGCATTTCTTTTTACAATCTATTCGGCCGAATAGGTTGTAAAAAAAATGTTTTTAAAAGTTAAAAAAAAAGGCTCTGATGATCGCACTGCTCAGCTGGCATTGTCAGAGCCTTTTTTTTACCTTTTAAAAGCATTTTTTAAAAGAAGCGGCAAGCGGGCAAGAGGGGAACCGGGCAATTGGGTGGGCATGGGTGGTGGTGGGTGGGCAGAGATTTTTGCTACCGGTTCTCCTAACCACCCGCCGCTGCAGTTGTTGAATTATTAACATGGTTGTTAAGTGAAAACAGTTTCCCCTTTGACTTTGCTTGTCAGGTGGTCGCAAAGGGGGAATCACATGACCTGGGACACTGCAACCATCATAAATATGAGTCTGTTGCCAACTGTCTGAATTTTGATCACATGACCATAGGGATGCTGCAATGGTCATAAGTGTGAAAAATGGTCATAAGTTACTTTTTTGTAACTTTGAATGCTCACTAAATGAACTGTTGTAAATCGAGGACTACCTGTATTGCACACTTTAAGCTGCTATGGCCATGCCGCTCATCTCAGGTGCCGGGAGCTGCCTTGCCCTGCAGGAGAGATTGAAAACTTGCCATTACCAGATGACCATGGCCCATGTAAAGCCTCAAGAGATTATTACATCTTATCCAGGATTCCTATAGGTAGCAATCTGACTTAGGAGAAGAGACATCTAAAGTTTTGCTGGCACTCAATAAGGGACAAACTTAACCAAACACAGCTTAAAGCTGCTATAAAAGCCTATCTTTTGGCAGTAAGATCTGCAAGGCACCACTATTTCTCTGCCCTGATTGCATCTGTGGATAGCATCCCATGGCCCTGTTTTGGGTAACACATACCCACTTGGGTAGTGGGGTCCAGAGAACCTCTTGGAGGGGCATGCAAGAATTTCTGGGCATTAATTCCTGTACTGAATTATCCCATAGTCTTTGTCTGATACAATGAAGTGTTGTTGACATAGCCCTGAAAAATAAATAATCAGGATCAATGCCAATCTGACTAATCTTTTGAGTCACCATTGAATCACGTAATTACAAAGGACATATTTGGGATCTCCTGAAGCAATCTTTCCTTGTCTTTAAAATAATAGTTTGGCAACCAAAGCTTCTTAACACATAAGCAAGCCTTTGTTTTCAAAGGGCATTGTCGAGCTTCCAAGAGAGTAACAGCATTTGGAACACAGCTTCTAACACTTAAAAGAAATGTTTAAAATTTCATCTGCAGTTGTGCTATGTGGTTGTTAGTAAATGTGATCCAACTTGAAGCTGCATATAAAATTTGCAATACGATTTTGGCATTAAAAATGCATATTGCTACAGGAACAAAACTTCCTCCTTTCGAATAAAAATATTGAGACAAGACTATTATAGTAAATTTTGCCTTCAGAAATATTGCCTTGCAATGAGGTAGCATCTTAAAGCATGGTAAATACAATGACCAGATAACTAAACTTCTCTGTTGCATCTCACTTACATTAATACTATCTTGATATAGTGCAGTACAGGTAATCCTCAAGTTATGGCAGTTCACTTAGTGACCATTCAAAGTTACACAATAAGCCCCCCCAAGTGCTTATGACAAAGTGCCAAAATTATGAATATTGCAGCACCACAGTTTGCCCTTACGAATTACCACAGAGGCATTGCCACATTCCCCCTATTCCCCCTCCACTCCCCACAATTGCTTCCCCCTCCCATCCTTCTGCACCAGACTTACTTATCTTGCAAAGATCTGTCTCCTCTCTGCTGCAATTTCTTTGCCTTTGAGGGAGAGGAGAGCAGGACGATTTCCCTTCCAGCCTACTGATCAGCTTGCAAATGCTTTTCACACTGAGAGTAAAATATTTGGGGGTGAGGGGGAGGCTGTGATCTTGCGCGACTTCAGGCACCCATTCTCTGCAAAAGTAGATGGGTACTTGAAGTCGCCCAAGATCACAGTCCCAGAACCTTTCACTCTTGGTGCAGAAAGCATTTGCAAACCGATTGGACACTAGAAGCGAAATCGCATTGCTTCCAGCCTACCGGACAGCTTGCGAACCCTTTTCGCACTGAAAATGAAATGTTCTGGGAGCTGTGATCTCGTGTGACTTTAGGCACCCATCCGCTTTTGCAGAGAATGGATTGCTAAAGTCTCTTGAGATCACGGCCCCTAGAACTTTCACTCTCGGTGCGAAAAACATTTGCAAGCCAACTGATAGGCTGGAAAGGAAATTGTCCTGATCTCCTCTCCCGCAAAGGAAAAGAAACCGTGGCAAAGAGGAGACAGATCTTTGTAAGGTGAGTCTGGCGCGGCAGGGAGAGGGAAGCATGAGGTATCTCAGTGGGTAGGGGAGACCTTGGATGGCCTGTTCCATCACTAGCCCCCCCCCCATTGCCTTCCCCACCCTGAGATTAACAAATGTGTTAATTTTTCATTTAAATGTCTGGCATACAGTTTTCCCAGTAGTAATAGGAAACTGATAGGTCTATAATTGGAAGAGTTATTTGTATCTCTCTTTTTATACAGGAGGACTATTATAGCCTTATTAAACAACAGATTCAAGACCTGAGCACCACACAATGGGGCAAGCTCCCATCCTCACCCCAGTTCCTGCCAACCTAGCAGTTTGAAAGCATGCAAATGCAAGTAGATAAATAGGTACTGCTTCGGTGGGAAGGTAACAACACTCCATGACATGATTGCAGAAATGTCTTTGGACAGCACTGGCTCAACAGCTGTGAAACGGAGATGAGCACTGCCACTTATACTCGGCAATGACCAGCAGAGTAAAATCCACAGGGGCTCCTTTACCTTATCTATTACAGTGAATAGAGCTGCTAATAAAGCACCCCACCAATCTAGATTTTGTTTTAGGACTTCAATAGGTATGTTATTTTGTCCAGGAGCCTTGATAGGTTTAAAGTTTCATATACAGTTGAAAGGGTCATAATTTTCTCCTCTAACGCTGGTTTCCACACTGTGGAAAGAAAGTGTAAGGCTCGGCCTCTCCTCTTTATTCAATAAAGTAAAGACTCTTGAAACTTGGCTTTTCAAAAGGAACCTTTTATTGAATAGAGGTGATAGCAGGGCGAAAAGAAAGCTGGCTGTGAGGGGCCCTCAGGCCATGCAGTTAGAATAAAGGAATTAGAAACCCCTCCCAACAGTCAAATGTGGATTCAGCCAATCCACAGGTGCGAAGATGTTATTGTACTGGCCACTCTGGGAAAAAGATAAGGGAACTTTCTCAGAGTCATCCTCCACCGGCTCTCGAGCAATACAACCCACATGGCCCTCCCTCCCCTTACATTCCCTAAAAGGTGCAAAAAAGCCAGGGCGTTATAAATCAATAAATTGCAGGTTACAGGATATATAGGAAAGAGAGTAATAAGTAAAGAAAGTAATTTAAAAAACTCCTTCCCCTGAAGAATGGCAGATACACGGATCTGACATACTGCCCTCTTTAGAAAAAAGGATAATCCATCTGGAAAGAAACAAGGAAAACATATATATGTTAAGATGATTTACTTGGGTATTTCAGGTGGAATTTCCTTAAGAGTGTGTGGGCTTTTACATGTTTTTAGCCACCCATTCATTTTGAGATACTCAGGTACCACTCATGCAAGCGGTTGGGGGCTCCCCTCAAACAAGTGATGTATAGGTCATCATTCAGCCCATCCTTAAACCAGCTCATCAAGATGTCCTCTGGCCAGTCCACACAGCAGGCTAGATTGCGGAATTCCTCTGTGTATTTGGCTACTGGCTGGCAACCCTGTTTCATGACTCTGATGCGATCTTGGGCTTTGTGGTCAGCTAATGGGTCCTCAAAACGCTAGCGCATGGTCACCATGAAGCAGTCAAAGTTTCACAGCTCAAGGGCATCGGCATTGTGGAGGGTTACCATCCAGCGGGCAGCTACCCCCTCCAGGGCCAGGGTGACAACTCAAACTCAGACCCCCTGGGTTGGGAAATTCCAGCCATATTCCTGCATATACGTGGGGACTTGGGCTGGTTTCTGGGGGTCTTCATTGTACTTTACACCCTAGGGGGAGTATTCCTTTCCAAATGAGGTCTCCTAAGTTGGTTGAAAACGTGACGCGCTGAGGTGGCGATCGGTGGCGATGTGCTGTGGTGATCCCCACAGCCTGGAACGGGTCTAAAACAGAGCATGCGAAGGCCAAAAATGTGATGCGCGGAAGCCAAGAACACGATGTATGGAGGTAGCAATAGGCTCTGGCGAGCCCTGAAGCCTGGAACAGCTGTATTCCGGGAGGCCAATCCAACCGCCAATCAGCTGTTCATGCTAAATCAGGCTGAAGCTTAGCAGACTGTTTGCTGTTGCTCCAAGCACGCTAGCCAGATAAATACTGATGGATGCTGGTAGGGAGAGGCAGAATTTTTTATTGTTGTTTTCCTCCCCAAAAACGAATGTGCGTCTTATACTCCTGAGCGTCTTATACTCTGAAAAATACGGGTACATATAGATATAGAGATACATATATAGAGAGATGTAAAACTGCTAATATTGTGCGTACACATACACACAGTTCTATATATATGTAAACTGCATTCATATATATATACAGCATTCATATATATATGAAAAACGCTAAGAGTTTCTGCCTGCAGGAGGAATAAAGTAGTAAATACATAGCAAATAAGAGAGGGTGGGGAATTTATGAAACCTCCCAGGGAAGGAAAGATATATGTCATTCATAGTTTCCGTGCAACACCATGTATATTTAGAGATGCATTGCTTAATCTTTGAAACTAAATTAGATGACTGCTTGCATGATGACAAATGTTGTCACTGGTTCAGAAACATGACTCAGAAAATAAAAAGCTTTACCTTTCCATAGAAAGGTAAAGTGCCTTATTTATTTATTTATTTTTCTTACTAGAAATAATTTAAATGCAGCCAACTGTATTTATTGAAATGAATATGGTACTATTTTTTTAAAGAAATCAAAATAGGGTAAAATTAACTTGATAAAACATGCAAAATTTTAAAGAAATCAATGCAAATGTTTTCATATTATTTTCTTTTAAAAACTAATTTATTAAAATGCTATAACCTTGTCTTTTACCAGAACAGAATTCTCTCTCTCTCTTTCTCTCTCTCTGTATTGACATGAAAGATTAGGTTTTTTTAATCAATGCTCTATTAAATATGTTTTTAAAACAACAGTAACATTTCTTGTTTCTTTCAACAGTATGAACAATGAGAGTGGCTGGATTTTGCACAACACTGCAAACTTGCATGTTAACCACGCTTTAGCTTAGCACATTGAGAACACCACATCCACATGAACACCCAGCAAATAATTTAGATTTAGAAGTTGTATTAGAAGATTATTAGAAAATGTATTAGAAGATTATCCAGGAATAATTCCCCTTTGGGGACTTTCCAAATGTTGGAACTGTTGCCTTGTGGGGCTCCTCAGAACTATCTTGCTAGCCTCAATCTCCCCCAGGTAATTCAAACCAAAGGCTATGTGGTAAACAAGTGTTTCTTTACCTCAGCGATTTTAAGACACGTGGCATTCAACTCCCAGAATTCCTGAAGAATTCGGGGAGTTGAAGTCTATAAATCCTAAAGTTGTGAGGTTGAGAAATGGTATGATAAACCAATGGCCTCTTAAGAGCTCAGACCAGAGGTGGTATTCAGCAGGTTCTGACCAGTTCTGGAGAACCAGTAGTGGAAATTTTGAGTAGTTTGGAGAACCAGTAAATACCACCTCTGACTGGCCCCACCCCCATCCATTCTCTGCCTCCCGAGTCCCAGCTGATCGGGAGGAAATGGGGATTTTGCAGTAACCTTCCCCTGGAGTGGGGACGGAATGGAGATTTTACAGTATCCTTCCCCTGCCACGCCCACCAAGCCATGCCAGGAGACTCTCTAGGAGTCTCTGGAGGCTGGGGACAGCAAAAAACATCACTTCCTGTCCCACCAGGAGTTGGGAAATGGGCCCTTTCAGGCCTCCGGAGGGCCTCCGAGGGAGTGGGAAAGGCTGTTTTTGCCCTCCGCAGATGCATAAAGACGATCTGGAGCCAGTAAGAAAGAAAAACGGGCCTTCCCCACCCACCCCCAGGCCCTCTGGTGGCAGGAAACAGCCTGTTTTCCTACTTCTGGTGGGCCCAGAAGGCCTGAATATCAGTTGGCTGGGGCGCACATGCGGGCCAGAGCTGAGCTGGTGTGCCCACTGATATGGCTATGTGTGCCACCTGTGGCACGCGTGCCATAGGGTCATCAGCACGGTTATAGGTCATCTAGTCCAACCCCCGCTCAAGCAGGAGACCCTATACCATAATACTATATTTCATAAACTCCTTTGTTGCAAGAATAGTTCACCTAACACAGGAAGGCAAAATCAGACACTTGGAATACAAGGTTTAAAGGGAAAATAATTGACATGAAGTGGTTTGTCATTGCCTTCTTCCTGGGACTGAGAGGGATTGGCTCAACATCGCCTAACTGGTTTTATGCCTAAAGCAGGACTAGAATTCACAGACTCCCAGTTTCCAGCCTGATGCCTTAATCATTACACTAAACTTCAGTCATACTTCTCCTTAACCAAGCATAACTTGGCATTGTTAGTTGGATTGTGATCTTGGAATGGAATGGGATTCGATAGGACAGAAGCCTTTACTATCCTGTTGGCTTTGTACAAGTCCTCTAGATGGGTGAATGTTATGAAATTTGTTGGGTAGATGCCATGATGCCATGTATCATGCCAGTTAAGCTCTTCCTGTTGCTCTGTTTTCAGATTGCAATATTTTGACTTAAAACTGTCTATCAGATGCCAAGCTCTTTGGGAGTAAGCTCTTTTGAACCAAGCTGGATTATGCTGTTTATATTATGCTCTGAAAACAAATAACCCACAGGAGTACTGTAACTGTAGCTAATTTTACAAACATCATTTTGAAATCACCAGAGGGTGCATTTTATAGTCAAACTATACATTCATCTAACAATCGCTTCAGTTTGCATACAGATGGCTTTGCAAAGACACATCTTAAAATTGTGTTATCCTTTTTATTTGTTAAGAAGGAATTCCAAAGAAGTTCAGCAAATTCCTTCTGGAGTGGGCATCATACAGTTATCTACAATTATCACCTACTCTTGGGAATTAATATTATTAGGAATTATTAATGGATCAGATAAAATTCTGACAGCAATTTTTATCCAAAATATGTAACAGAAAATTTATTAATAGTTTAAGAAGCAGACCAAAAAATGTTGGTAATAGTTCTGGTCCATTATGGAAAAATGCAAAACAAACCAGAAAAAAATAGTTGATGCTTGTTTTTTCTGGGACATAAATTCTAGAGAATATTGAGGATCTTTTAAAAATGCTAGACTACATGAGAGATAGTCAAGCTCACAAACGCCCCTCCCCCCCACCTGTCACCTAACATCCCAGACTTAACAATTGTCAAGAAAGACGAAAAAAGTCTGGATTGTGGCATTACAGTACCTGGAAATAACAGAAGAGAAGAGAAAGAACTGGAGAAAATTACAAAATACAAAGACCTGCAAATAGAAGTAGAATGACTATTGCAAAAGAAAGCAAATATTGTACGAATAGTAATAGGTGTTTTGAGTGCAATCATACAAAACATTACAGAACAACCATCAGTCAATTGCAAAATGCAGCTCTACTTGCAACAGTTTATACCCTGCAATGACGCCTTTTCTTGTTGTTGTTCAGTCTCTGTGTCTGACTCTTTGCAGCCCCATGGACCATAGCATGCCAGGCACTTGTCTTCCACTGTCTCCTGACTAATTTCATAAACAAGGATGGCTGAGCTGTGAGAGTTGGATTATCAGCCAGTTTGCTCAAATTCATTTCATTGAGTTGATGATACCAACTAACCATCTCATCCTCTGCGGTCCCCTTCCTCTTTTACCTTCAATCTTTCCCAACTTCAGGGTCTTTTCCCCAATCAGTCCTCTCTTCCCATTAGGTGGCCAAAGTCTTTGAGCTTCAGCTCCAGTTTCTGTCCTTCCAAAGAACAGTCTGGGGCTGATTTCCTTTAAGGATTGACTGATCTCCTTGCAGTCCAAGGGACTCTCAAGCGTCTTCTCCAACACCACAATTCGAAAGCATCAATTCTTCAACGCTCAGCCTTCCTTGTGGTCTAACTCTCACAGCCATACATTACTATTGGGAAAACCATAGTTTTGACTATAGATGATACCTTTAACACAGTGGTGGGTTTCAAATTTTTTTACTACCGGTTCTGTGGGTGTGGCTTGGTAGGGGTGTCATGGCTTTGTGGTCATGGCTTTGTGGCCGTGGCAGGAGAAAGATACTGTAAAAATCTCCATTCCCACCCCACTCCAGGGAAAGGTTACTACAAAAACCCCATTTCCTCCTGATCAGCTGGGACTCAGCTGGGAGGCAGAGAATAGATAGGGGTGGGGCCAGTCAGAATTTTGATTACCGGTTCTTTGAAGTACTCAAAATTTCTGCTACCTGTTCTCCAGAACTGGTCAGAACCTGCTGAAACCCACCTCTGCTTTAACACCATCAAATAAGAACATCTGTCTATCTGAAGTCCTTGGGAAGGACTTGATAGACAGATATAAATGACAACTTCAGGCTTAACATCTGGCTGATTGGTGGTGAATAACAACAATAATAATGATAATCCATCCATCCTTGTGTATGAATTAGCCACTGTGCCTTGTTTCTTTCCATATCCACATTTTATCAATGGGGACATTCCTGTTTAAATAATACATCCCCCTCCTCTTTCTTTAAACAGCCGCTGCTTCCCTCCCAGCCGAGGAGCCTCCCATTCAACCCGCGCTGTTCCAAAGCGGGAGAGGGTGGGACCCCTCAGCCAAGCGTGCCTGACCCGCCTCCGCAAGCGACGACGGCGGCGGCGGCGGCGTCTTGCTGAGGAAGGCGGCCGAGCCCAAGGCTGCCTGATCCTACCTCGGCTAGCCGGCCATTGGGCGCCTTTTCCCCCTTCCCCCATCACGCAACGCCAGAGTAGCGCCAGCATTCAACCCCGGCACTGTCACTTAGCAGCCGCCGGGCTCCGCCTCGTCGGTCGGTCGGTCGGTGGGTGGTGGGTGGGTGGGTGGGTGTCGATCGGTCCCGCCTCTTCTCGATCGATTGGGGCCGGGGCTGCCTCGGGATTGGTCAAGGAAGCCGTCATTTGCCCGGGCGAGTTTTGCTGCCCTCTTCTTGTCACGCCGCCGCCACTCGGGGTTGGGGCGTTTTTGCGCGCTGCCGCTGCCCTTCTCCGCTTCCTCCTCCTCCTGCCGCTGCTGCTGCTGCTTTCGATGTTTTGAGGCAGAAGAGAGGGGAGCGGTGGCGGCCGCTGGACCTTCTCCCCTTTCCTCTCTCTCTCTGTCTCTCTCCCTCTCCCTCTCCCTCTCCCTCTTGTATCATCTTGGCTTGGCCCCCGGCTTGGGGGTGGGGTGGGGTGGGGGAGCGCCTTCTCCGCCATGGCCACCAGCACCACAGGCTCCACGCTGCTGCAGCCTCTCAGCAACGCCATTCGGCTACCCATAGACCAGGTGAGGAGCCCGGGCGCGCGCAGGGAAAGCAGCCCCTTTCTAAAGAGTGGGGCGGGGAGGGGGGAGAGTAAGGGCGAGCCGGCCCGAAGGATGCAGCCATCCCGTTCCCCCCCACCACCACCTCAGCTCCACTGCCTCGCGCCCCATCCCCCTCGCCGTCTCCGAGACCTTTTATTCCTGCCTCCCCCGCCGGCTGCCTCGCAATTGCATCCCGCGTTGCCCTCATCCTGAAGTAGCAAGCCTTTCTAAATGCATCGAGTGTGGCTTGCCAAAAAAAAAAAAAAAAGCTCTTCCTTTTCGGTGCCCAACGGTGCGCGAAGGTCTGGTGTTGGGGTGTGTTAGGGATGAGGAGGTCGTGATTTATGGGCCGCCTTCGTCCTTTTGTATATGTGGAGTCCTGTGCCCAGGGTGTGTGTGTGTGTGTATATTTGCTTGCTTGCCTACCGTTCAACCCCTTTTCCCCGTGGTTAAATAGATGTCCTGGCTAACCTGGCTTGTTTGCTCAAATGGGGAGAAAAACGTGGAAGTTCAAAACGCCTACTTGAAAGTCTTTGTTAGGCAGGTAATTAAAACAGACTTTAAAATTGTATGCCTGGAACCCAAAGGTCTTGACTTGTATTTTTTTTATTTTTTTTTAAAGTGGTGAGAAATTCAGGCTCCTTTAAAACCTGGGGTCAGATTCCTGTTGATCCTCCTCTGGAGGGTTAGGATTTCATAGGTATCCGTTTGGCCTTAAAGAAGTCATAAGTGGCACCTTGCATCGCCTGGCTGTGTGAGAGAGGTTGAGATGCTAGATATTTGCAGGGCTTTAACAATTTGTGCTTAACAAATGGACAACGTGTTGTATGAATGGCACATACTTTATTCTGTTATCTTTAAATAACTGCAGGGTATTCTGATATTTGCAGAGGAATACTATCCTCGTATTTACACTATGCTTTGTAGGAAAAGATGCAATGTTAGGTGTCTGTAAAGTTCATAAATGTCACCAGTTATTTATTTCCCAGAAACAGAGCCATACCTACTCCGGATGATTAAAATTCACAGCAAAATTAGTGTATGTTTTAATTAAGTTTACATCTTACTGAAAGTGGTACATTTTGTCACACAGTGCAGGAACGATAGGTGTGAAAATCTTAATTTTAAACTTCTTTAGGTTTTCCATTGTATTAAAGTTTACAGTGATCCAATATGGATGCGAGCTTATTAAGGAAAATTAAATAGAAAATTATCTTTCTTTTCACCCCAAACCGCTTCTGATAGCAAGTATTTTACCAATGTAAAGAACATTTTAAACCAAACCATTGATAATGAAGAATAGGAAAAGGAACAGTGGAGAGTTAACACAGTTTGTTGAAATTTTTCTGAGTAGTATTTATATATTAACACTAGATTCCTATAATATGATTTGAATAAAGTGGCACTGAATCACTTTTAAATTCAGCTGCCATTTTATTTACAAGTAGATAGTTAGATCACTGGCTTCTTGTTACAAAAAATATTTTTGAAAGAATGAAATCCCCAATATACAACATGGAAGAAAATCACACTGTGTATACATAAGGGAATGTTTGAGATAGTGGCAAATATCTAACTTGGGTGTAGGATGAGGGTGGAGGTTCATTCTTTGAGCTTGTGGGTTGGTTTCCCACAGGGGAATGTTGCTGAGGGATGCTATGAAACATTAGGATATTTAAATCCCATTAATTTCATTGGAAGATAGTTTTACAGAGAGCAGTGGAGCCACAAACTCCTTAGCTTGGATGAATGTTATGCATTGTATGGTTTTTTTCATGTTGAAAAAGTTTGAGCAACATTGTATCCTGCACGCTTAACTTGAGATAGGTTGCATTTACATAGCTTAGATTTACTCCCCACACTACTAAACGGACTGATATTCAAACAATTGGCTGTCTTGTCAAAAAAGTATCACGCTGTACTTTACAGGAACATTCAGTGTTGGGTGTATTAGCATTATGTCTCCAATATTTCTTCTTTTGCAGACAGTATGGATGTTACTAATATTTGCTGAGCATTCAGGGACTATATATCATTCATACACCTATCTTATTGCTATTTCTTATAACAAAACAGTTGTGGAAAATAAAATTCTCAGTAGTAAGGACTAAACATGTAAAAGCCGTTTACAATAAGACGAACAGATCTGGTTTGCAAACATTTGGATGATCGCTAGATGGCAGATGGGAGTTAGAATTTTTGTATCTCTTTGCTACCATCTACTGCTCCTCATCTAGATTTTTGCTGCCTAGATACAGTAGCCCTGTTTATGCAATATTTTTTGTAAAAGTTGTTGGTGAATTACCTCTAAATTTTGTGATAAATATATTAAAATGCTTTCTAAAATTCTCTTACGGTGGACTAATAAGTAATTGAATAATAATTCTTCATCTCCAATGACTGTTGAAATATAATTAACAGTTATAATGCTGTGTACGATATTTAAACTGTCCAAAATTTTCAGCTTTATTTACTGTCTAAGAACTTGTTTAAAACTTTCATTAGAGAAGTTTCAGCAAGTCCTGAGTTGAACATACATTTGTGACGCTCCTCTGCACAAAACACATATGCACATGCAGATGTCACTATAAATAGTGACATCTTAGGGCTATTTTTCAAATGTTTTGAATTGGAAGCTGATATTATTTATATCATCTATGTACTCCATTTGTACATTTTCATGTACTGAAACCTTTAATTCCTATACTGTACATTGTTTCATCTATATCCTTGGCTACCTTTGGAGCCAATTTTAATAGGTGATTGTGCAATAGCATCCCTTGTTCCCAACTTTGGATACATATGATTTGTTATTTCTTCGTTTCCTATACTTGTTACCTTGAATTCCTGCTTCCTTTATATCTTTATTTCTCCATTGTTTTAAGCAGCAGCAGCAACAACAAGGTAAAGATTTAAAGGACAAATAATTTTATTGTAACCTAAGCTGTCTCTTCCATTTACTGATTTTGGGGAATAGTTACTCATGCTCAAGCCAATTATGAACAACTAATAAAGATTCATATTGCCATGTTTAGGATGGCAGTAAATAGTCTATAGTTGTAATAAATGTGGGGATATGGCTTAGATTGAATTTTGTTCATTTTGAAGCTGCAAAGAGTGAATCAAAATCAAAGAACAGATGGAATGACTTGCAGTGCTATAAAGAGGGTAGTCCAGAAATATATTAATAATTTTTGGATGGCACTGAGAAAATGAGCAGTGATGTCTTGCTTTTATCTTTGATATAAAGGGCAGTGATTTTATTCTCCATTTGCTAAAAAAGCTCTCTAGTTCAGTTGAAGTATACTTTTCCTTTTTGCAATTTGTTTGATATCTAAAATTGCAATCAAGGGCTTGTTCCTGACTTTAAAATAGAAGCTGAACATCTGGTTTGGTTCTTTTTTCTGATTTGAAGGATGTATGCTAAGCATACTTTATCTTTTTGGGCAACAAAATAAGCTATGGTTTGCTTAGCATTAATATGCTAATTTAACATAATACAGTACTGTATCAGTATTACAATTCAAGTTCTTTGTTAGGCTAGCAATTATCTTAAAAGTTAAATCAAATTTTGCTTAGGGTATAGAATTGTCACTACTTTGATCACAAATGTAGATGGCCTACATTGGAAACCTGAAGAAGGTACAGTTTTATTACCTTTGGACTTACTGGCAGATTTCAATCCTGATAGTCATAGCTTCTTTCTGGGTAACCTGCAGAATTATGTTTTGGAACATTGTATTTCGATTGCACATGCTTTTTCTACTGGAGTGTGGTTAGACGGGGAGATGATCTGTTTGGCGCCAGGCTTTGTTTGCCTTATGGTATTCTATAGGGCTATTTTATCTCCTGTGTTTTGTATCCCCAAACTTTAGTATTTAATATTTTAAGAGGAAGTTGTTGGTACACTAAGGAAAAGTTGCTGTAGTATGTTTGCCCATTTGCAAAATCCTTATAAATCTATGCAGGCTTCTAAGATTTACAGAAGATGCAGGCATGTGGGAAAAAAGATATTAACTTAAATTGCCCACACACAATGGCACCTGTTTGGAGTTCTGATTAGTTGCTACTCTTATTACTTTCTGAAAGAGTTCCCAGCTGCATCTTTTTTAATGTATCCTCTAAATGGTTATTGGTTTTAATGCTTTTGTAATATATTGCATTGTCCTGCTATGTGATTATTTGAACTGAATACATTATTTTAATAGTACTATTAAAATTTTAATTAAGGTTCCGTTTCCAATGTAACCTGTCTACAGCAATGGAGAAAGCTTAACTCTTCATTAAGACTTTGCTTATTAGTGATTTTCCTTATGGAACTGTAGGCAATAGAACTAGGCAGAAATAATTTTCTCCATTCTTACTGAAATGAGTTCAAAAGGCAGACAGTTCATGGACAGACATATGATACATGCTTATCAGTGATACATTTTTTCAACATTGTAAAAGATAACTTGTTAACTAGTTTCTAGATCTATTCCGTTATTATTTTGTTTTTTTCCTTTGTGCTTTAAAACCAGTCTTGACCCTGGGCAAGTTCCTGCATTTTTTAATGGCACTTTAAAAAGTGGTTTGCCATTGTCTCTTTCCTAGGGCTGAGAGAGAGCCCAAAGTCACCGGCTATTTTTTTTTGCCTAAGGCACAACTAGTATACACAATCACTTGGTTTGTAGCCTGGTGCCTTAACACTACTTACTCTAAATTGTCTCTGTCTGCTTTTAATAGTTCTTGTTCAGTGTGTAGACTAATATTATGGATGCAACTCAGTAAAAGAACCTGATTAATAGTACCCTATAATTACTTGAAACAATTCAGGGATATGAATAGATGGAGGGGAAATCCTATATTTTATATTTCTCTTGAACAATGGCATCCAGATAAATCTCTTTGAATGAAATAATAAAACTGCTTCATGAATAGTCTTTGAAAGTAGACAAAGTAGAGACAATAAACTGCATTGTAAAGTTAACTAAAATGCTTAA